TGCTGCTACTGCCGCTGCCACTGCCATTGCTGCTACTACAGCTACGGCTGCATTTGGAATGCTTTTCGGTACTGCTTCGATGGCGCTGTTTAGGTTTTTGACTTAACGTAGAAGAAAACAATTGGTGTTTAGGGTTTGTGTGGGTTCTGTTCGGTGTGATGTCTGTGTGGTCCCCGATGCTGGGGACTGCTCTTTATCCCAGAACTTCGATCCAGTCCAAAGGACCCAAACCCAAACCAGACAACACCTGTGAAATCGGTGTTCAACTCTCGTCTCTCTCCTGAGTCCTGGCATCGCGGTTCTTCGTAACCCGTAAGCTGTTGCTGGAGCTGCATCAAGCAATTTCACCTGTGAGGCTGTCAAGCCTTCTGAACGACGAGAATCCACTGGAAGAACGACTTCCCGAGGAAATCTAGGGTCTCTGGACCTGTCTGCACTTTCATAATCTTTCGAGTTGAGGTGTAGTGGGCAGGGCGAGAAAGGTCGGCCTTGCGCACCAGTGTGAGGCAGCAGCAGCCTGTGCAGCATGTTGCCTTGTCACGGGGCTTGCAGTTGATGCCACTTGCGACGGATCTGGGCTGGCTGAGCTCGCGGCTGTCAAGCCATCATCATGGAAGCCGGGTTGCCATTCGCAGGCCCTGCGAAAGTGAAGTACTTGTCACCGACATGGTCGAATCGGTCGGGAGTGCGGTCTTCTAGCATGTAGCCTGCCGAAGTAATTACATTGGCAGGTCTTTTTCGCCAGGCCATGAGTTGTCGAGAATGAGGATGTGCAACAAGAACACAAAGGCTCATTGGTCTCTGTGAACAAGAGAGCCAGGGATCAGCTGATCGACCCCCGCAAAAGCTTCCGAGCCAGCGGCATGTAACCTCATTAGTTTCTTCGTTGACCCTTGCCGTACGAAGCCTGACTTGCTGGAGTTCTGGATTTGAATCTCCGTCTTCACTCAAAATTTCGAATCCGCCGAAAGCTATCGGTTTCAGGTGGTTGTTGTATGTTGCAGCACAAAAGTCCCACTAGGGCCTTCTCGTGCAAGCTTTTCCGTCGCAATGTTCAGGATCCTGCGGCATTGATCCAGCTGTTCGGTGGAGAGGCCCCAAAACCCTGTCAGCTGAATGCCGGCATCTGTCTCTTTTGCAGGTACTGCTGCGATTCATTGCATCCTGTATTATTGGTGATTGTCGCAGTTCACGGGTCGCTTCAGGTGCTGAACTGTACCTAGGAACCCCGTCCGCAAACTCTGGTGCAGCCCGAACTCGTGACCCCGAAAGGCCTAACCCGCAGTCCCTAGATCTTAGAGCTGTCCTAGAAGACGTAACAAGAACAAGCAGGAGGCACGAACTCGCAATCTGACGACCATCATGCTCGTCATGGATGTGATCATGAATGCGGTCGTCGGTGGTGATCTCGAAGCTGATGAGGATTATGTTTACAATGATGCTGGTAGCGATGATGATGACTATGATGGTAATGCTGAGAGTTGTCCCGATGAGGTCCGTGAAGATGCTGATGCCAGATGATGGCCGTTCTGGAGACGATGTGCGTGATGATGCGGATGATGATGGCTGTTCCGGTGAGTGAAGTCATCATGATGTTACTGATGAAGCAGCAGTGGTGACGCCGTCGATGATCACAGGGCTTGCGAGATTGAACGGACATCGTGTGATGTTGATGTTTATGATGGCGCGATGAGGATGACAATGATGCTGATGATGCTCGCAGTTCCCGGCTAGTTCAGTCCGTCACCATTACAACTATAATGTTTCCGCCCGAAGTGGATGATGCCGTCGCTACGCAGCTTCGAGATGAGTCTCGCCATGTAGGATGCTTCGAGGGTTCACAACCTTCGAAAGCGCTCAGCTGGCATCCCAGCAAAACTGACAGACGAAGTGCAGGTGCCCGAGATCGCACTCCCTCCTCCGCGAGGTCAGGGTTATCTATCTGGGTTCAGACGTGCCTTGCGACTCAGGTGTTCAGGGCTTTAGGGGCCTGTGAACTCCCCACTGTCGGAAGCCCACCTAGGATCGAAAATCCTTAGCCCAGATGTGTTGTCTCCAATGCTCGGGTTTCCATGTCTCTGGGCAAAGTGAGAATGCTTTCAGGAGTTGCTGTAGCCTGGAGATGGCAGCTTCCTGCTCCAAGTCTGGGTGTTAAGGGGCTCTGTGTTCCTTTATGGGATCCACATGTGCTGGTGCATCACTGAAAACGTGAGAGGCATGTAGACTAAATGACACGGAGAGCTTACCAGCGGCACGTCTACTTTTGTTGCCTTGGGAAGCGTTGCATGTCAGACATCTAGCAGCCTGAGTCGGACCTCGCGGCCTCGCAGGAAGTTTGGTTAATCCGATATCCGATATCCTTCACCTTTAAATTTCAGAGCCTGCAACAGATTCTTTCGGTTTAGGTTCAGAGCCATTCCAAGAACGGTTTTAGTATCCGGCCATGCTCTCACGGAGCCCTACTTCAAGAGGCCATTGAGGCCATCCTTACTCGTAGCTACCCTAAGCGAAGAATGAAAACAAGTATCTACTTCCTGAAATCACACTCCATAAATCCTGGCACACAGCCCGACAGCACGAGCCATCAATGCTACACATACATGAAATGTGCAAGGCTGTATGTATGAACGTGTGTGTGTGTGTAGTGTATGTGTATGTGTGTGTGTATGTATGTATGTATGTATGTCTGTATGTATGTATGTATGTATGTATGTTTGTTTGTTTGTGTATGTAAAGGTATGTATGTGCATGTATGTGGTGTATGTGTATGTACGTACGTATGTACGTTTGTACGAAAGTACGTATGTATGCATATATATATGTATATATGTATGCATGCATGTACGTGTGTATGTATGTATGTATGTGTGTATGTATGTATGTATGTATGTATGTATGTATGTATGTAGTTATGTATGCGTATGTGTATGTGCATGTGTATGCATATGTGTGTGTATGTATGTGTAGGTAAGTAAGTAAGGTAAGTAGTAAGTATGCATGTATGTAGGTAGGTAGGTAGGTAGGTAGGTAGGTAGGTATTTATGTATTTTTGTATGTGTATGTGTGTATATATATATATATACATGTATGTGTATGCTTCCATATTCGTATTTGTCGATTTCTTTGTCGAATGGTTTGTTTTAGTGTACATAATTACCATACGTTTTTCATTTAATAATTAAATCGGTAAGCGAATTCTGCGGCCAGCCAGGGCATTTGCCGTGGCAACCTGAAGGCACGGAAGAGGGGTCATTAGGTCGGCTTGGCTTTGTGGCCGGGACATGGCAATGAAGCACTTGTCGTGCAGCTCAGCGGGTGCTGCGACGTGGCCTTGAAAATGCACGTATGGTCCTCGGAAAGGATTGATGAACGGCGACAAACATGTACGTTCATATGAGACTTGGATTCGTGGGTGAGGGCCTCGTAAAAGAGCATCCGAGGTGACAGCAGCAGCAACAACAGCAACAAAAGCAACAGCATCGTTTGCATCCACGCCGAGGAGAAGTACTTTGGGGCACTTTAGTGCGTGGATTCAGCTGGGGGGATGCAGCTCTAAACAGGCTGTCTTGGGACTCAACCGTGGACAGACTGCGACTTGTGCGTCACCTTGCCAGGTGATCTGTCGGAGCTGCAGCCCAAGGTCTTGTCGTCTGCCTCACTGCTGCAATAATGCGAAGACCCGGATCGTCGAGTGCTTGGCACCACGATGCCGTTCGTGCACGAGCAGAGGGCAAGACATGCAAAAGTGGAGCGAAGCCACAAAAACCTCAACATAGAATCTCCCAGCAGCCTTTGGAATGGAATTGCAGCTCCCAGCACCATCCAGCACCACAGACAAGAAAGCCAAGGCTTGTGCATGTTTGGGAGTTAGAACTCCGGGTTTGCGCATCGAATTCGCAATCGTTCACAGATGTGAGCGAAGTCTGGACGCTGGGCCTCGATTGCAGGGTCGACCTGACTGATTTGGTGTATTCTTCTTGACCGCTAGATGTTTTATGCGAGGAGGGATCGTTTGCAGTCGTGCTGGAGTACTGAGACACTGTGACTCCAGTTGTTTCGGGGATCTGGGGACTCTTTGCAAATGCACATGCTTACGAGCTTGTGCCGGGCAATCGCGCGGGATCAACCATACCATGAGATCCGATCTCCATTTCTCACGACTGAGAGTGGGCTCTCTAGACGAAGAGCATTAAACTAGATTCTCAGAACTACAACCAGTGCGGAGCCACGAAGACGCGAGCTCGATGGAGCGGGGGTATCACGGCGGGGAGGTAGAAGCGCCGAGGTGGTCCAGGGGCCGAGTCGAAATCCTGCCAAACTCGGCCTCACGGTGTCCCGAAATCCTTTGAATTCCACACCCAAGTCGTTCAATATCAGCATCAATGATGGAAGCCCCAATGACAAGAGAAGCAGCAGGCCCAGCGCTATGTTTCGAAGGAATCGGCACAAGTGTCTCTGGCTGGCATGAGCCCCTATCTTTGTAAGCAGAACTGGTCCAAGTTCCAATTCCGTCCAGCTTGCACCCCGAGTCTAGCGATCATGCACCCAGCTGCGAAGCCCACGGCTTTTGTAGAGACTACAGAGTCGAACTTCTGGCTGTTGCTGGCCTTCGTGCTCCACACTGTGCATCCTCGGGTGCAAGCTCCCCAGCATGAACCCGTGACGACGAGAAGTTCAATCTACGTTTACAATGCATTCCTATTGTAGAGGCTTCTCAACTCAACTGGGCTGGTGTATACATTTTGAGTATTGAGTCTTGGGGAAACTCATCAGCGGTAGTGCAGTATGCGCCTTGTCAGCTTATTTTCGTTTCTTTGGCATCTTCGTGCCGGTTTCGGTCAAACGTGCGCTGCGGTGCTAATGGTGATGTGATAGTTTTGTTATGCCGCTGCTTTTTCCAACTAGAACTAAAGTAACGGTGATCAGTCATGGCCATTATTATCATGATTAACCATGTCGCCTGCTGCTTTCTTAACTACTTCCGAATATTGCTTTGCTGCTACTGCCATCGCCACCACCACCGCTCCCAACCCCGTCAGCACTTTCGTGCAGGTAACGGGAGTAATGGGCTACTGTTTTCGGGGGCAGAGTCTGTTTTGCGCATGTCCTCCAGCCCTAGGCATAAGAAGCGAGCTCTTGAAAGCCAGAGATGTGCCCCCGGTCTGGCAGTTGCAGCTGCCCCATCGCCGGGCATGGGTGTCGCGAAGTGTTTAAGCGAGTGTGTGCCGAGTATTTATCGCACAAACACAAGATGCTTTAGTCGATGCGAGGCATGTTTCTCAATCCCGAAGATTCCGTGCACGATGCAGCACTCGACAGTTGCAGAAAGGCGCACCCACAGACAAGCTCAGGAACAACTGCTGAGTCTCCCAGACGGATTGCGATGTCTTCGGCGGTTGAGGTTTGTCCTATTCTTTCAGACAGGATGCTGTGTTCGCACCGAAGGTTCCTTCGTGCTGCTGGGCCTGGGGAGATGTACTCTTGAACACGTGGGGTCGTAGCGCTGTGATTTTCGAAGATTGATATGTAAACTCGGTGTGAGCCTTTCGAAAATCAGGATGAGCACCTTCAGGCCATGCAATGCCATGCATAATTGTCATTTCGATCTCACACCACCAAGTGCGCACAGCTTCCACTAAGCCAGTCAAAAAATCCTCAGACCCAAGCTTGAGACACCCTCGTTTTCGCGGCGGTTTGCTCCTCGTGTTGCGTAAGGCCTCGTCTGACATTCCCGTAGAACCCCAAGGGATACTACTGTAACTACCTCTTCACAGCGCAGAAAGCTAATCTCTGATGGGCAGTTGGGAGACTCAGGAGGCTTCTGCTTGCCGTCGTCTTAGACGATACATGCACCCACGCTTGCCACATCTCCGAATCTCCGAATGGAGATTTTCGGAAGCCACGCTTCTCTTGGAAACAATGGAACATGGCCAGGCAGGCAGAATTACGGAAAGCACCGCTCGCGGCGCACCTCGCATCCCACTCAAGTGAAAATGGCCCCCACTCCCGACGTGCCATACTCTCGTCAGAATTCAGTCTACTAATCTTGGAGATGCTCCCCCGTCCGAGCCAGGACCTGAAGTTCCTGCACAGAAACACTGCACGGTTCAGATATGTTCAGTTGACAGGGGCTGCAACGAATTCCACGGACAGTTGGTCGGGTGTGGCTGATGTCCAGTATGTAGACCGCCGGAAAGCAACAAATACAACATGCATACAACATAACATGGCTTGCTGAGCACAGGTGAGGAGTTGGACTAGGGCTTCCGTAAATGCCACGTAAAGGGTTTGGGCCTCAGCTTCGCACCACGAGTCGAAGAGGTTGGAGTTTGGTGCTTCCGAGGACTCCGTGCTGATACCGCAAACTGTGCTTGGGCCTCTTTTGCTCATCGCGATCCTTAGGGAAACACAGCGTATGCAACCTGTGAGGCTAACATGTGTCAATGCTGCCTTTGCTGCGCACAAGCATGCAACAGCGACAACAAGCTGAATGGGTTATGCCACTTTCGGGTCCGATCTAAAATATCAGGCAGGTATCGCTTGGTCCGTCAAGCATGGCCTTCTGTGCCGCCCATCGACTTACTCAGTCCCTAGCCCCACACACTCGGGAGAAATGAATTGAGGGTGGCATCGCACCACCGCAAGGACATTGCACAGCAGTTCAGACCAGGTGGGCACGTATCTACAGCATCAGGGCAGGCTTCGCTTTGTCACGACATGGAGATTGCAAGACGATGGACTCTGCGCCGTTCCGTGAAGCTGGCGGTGCTCCGCGGCGCTACTGGTAACTACAGTACTAGAAGTAGATATAGGGTTCAGGTAATGCTGCAAGCTGCCACGAGAACAACCTGCACAAACCAGGTGCTTAGCATAATTCAGGCCTGTGACCCCGCACTTGCCCGACTGGTTTTTGAATCAGTGCAACGATGGGGTCAATGCTCTATCAACGTCTCGATTCCCTAACAAAGGCATGTGCTGCAACAGACAGAAGCCCCTGTACCCAAACCCTCAAACTCTCCACCACCTAAGCCCAAAGCATTCAAAGCCTCCTCCAGCCTGTCTCAGTCTCTGTGCCGTTCTGACGCCTTTGGCCTCAACCTTTGCGGCACCTCAGAGACTGACGCCAAGGACACCAAGGTCAGGGCCAGGGCCTCTCTTGGTTTGGATTATGAATTAGGGTGTCAGATGGTTGAAGGCTTTAGATCGGTAAGGATAGCTAATTGCACTACAGGTTTGATGGCGAACAGAAAAAGAAGCGCACTAGAACGGTTTGATCAAGTATTGCCATAGCAATGCCACCACTGAGAATGCTTCTCGCCTAGAGGCTTTTGGTTAGCTTCAGGCTTTGGGCTGCAAGAGTGAAGACGGTCGAAGGTGCAGGGCCTGTGGGCAAAGACGATTGATGCAGAAAGTTTGAACTTACAGAGCTCTGCACTTGGGTTTGAGGGTTGGGAGATTCGGTAACATTTCTCATCAGGTGGAGGGGTTCTTCAATATCGTTTCAAGCTATGGACTGCGCAAGTTCGCGAGTTTGGGGCTTCTGGCTTTGACTTCTCTGTGAAATGGCAGACCCGAGTTTATGGGATTCAGAGTTTGGGTGAGACAACCCCCAGAACCTGAAGCCCCCAACCGTATGCATGCCTCAACCTCAACTGCTTTGATGTGGGGCCTCATGTCTATTTCGCAAGCCTAGCAGTGCACAAGCTAAGCACTAGCTGCTGGGATCTGTTAAAGCTGTGGTTTATTTGCCTTCTCGATGTGGTGGCAGGTCTGTCTCAGCTGGTGAAAGGCACGGCCTCTGAGACTTTGACAGCCTGACACCAGCAAAGGGGGGCTTCGTGACCGTTTCTGGATTCGGAGGCGTAGGCTCTAAGTTTCCCGTGCAGGAGTGCTTACTTTGGCAGACGGGAACTCCGTAAGTTGCGCTTTGACCTTCATGACAGACACGATGCCGTTGATACTGCTTTTTGTCATCATAGGCTTCCTTTAGGAGCATTCTCATCAGCGCATCGTGCCGGATGTCGCGTTGATAACTTAGGGGTTTCAGCGTGTTGGTCCCCATAGGCTTCACTAGTAGCGTGTAAAGGTGTTGAAACTCAAACACAAAGCTTGTGTTAAGGTCCAGCGTTAACTGTGATCAGCATCACCAGCGCATTCGCAATCGTCTACATCTTCGCCCTCATGCTCAACGGTAAAGTCCTCATCACCAGCAGCATAATTGTGATCATCACAAATGTCATGGTCGTCCTCGCCCTCGATATCCTCGAGCAGGAACGCTAACAAGCCTACTCACATTTCCAGCTGGCCTGGCCAGGCCTTTCACGGGTCGGGCCTCTTCGGCAGCGACAGTTTCCCGGCAGCAGACGTTGTGATCGTGCTGAGTTCAACGATGGTGAGTGAAAGGTTTCACAATGAAGGTCAGGACGAGGTGGCGAAGGAGGAGGAGGAGGCGGAGGAGGAGGAGGAAGAGCAGGAGGAATACAAATACAGCGCAACGACACAATAATTATGTTCATGAGGATCGTGAAGATGATGAGGACGACGACAACGATGATGATGATGGTTATGATGTTGATGATGATCAAAACTTTAACAATGGAATAGTAGTAGCGGCTGCAAGGAAGCAGCTGTGGTACTGTCGAGATGGCGTGCGGCGATGTTGAGGATGAT